TACGTCGACGACATCCAGCAACGGTCACAGTAATATGCACACGCCATATATTTATTGTTTGATGGGGATCCCAAACTTGTATTTTGCTGGTTCGTGTTTGCGGTTACATAATTTCGGTTTCGTTTTTGTTTATTAATTTATCATGAATCAATTATTTTGGCTAACTGGCACTTTGACCGAGATTGAATTGAAACTCGCGATAGGTACTGTCAACACCGAGCCTGCTTGGGAAAATACCACACTGTAGGTACATGATTTCAATACTGAGTTTATTACGAATTGACAAAACACAAGTCATAATTAACCTGGTTAATTATGATGAGACAAGCATTAAATGGATATAAATTGCGCCGCGAGCCGCAGCAAAGGCAGACTTAAACCAGTGCAATTACCTCTCGTTGGGAAAGCCTCTCTGGAATTAAGTCTCCTCAGTGCAAGTACCTCTCGTTGGGAAAGCCCCTCTGGGTATCTTCAGGCTTAGCGTTGTCCCTCGCAATTACCTCTCGTTGGGAAAGCTCATCTGGACAAGGTATAAGGGTGAGGATAACTAACCGACAGTCCCCAAAGCAGCGGTAACGTGTGTCTTCCTATAAGGACCTCAGTGTTGGAAAGGTCATGCATCCTAGCGTATGAGTAAGGGTATATTTGGGTATATTTGGGAAAATATATATCTATACTTTTATACAACTTGAGTGAGTTTCTCTCCATCGACCCCCAAAGCTACAAACCCCCCCATGTCACCCCCGTAAGGCAGGCAGTTGTGACAGTACTACTTGTATATGATTGAAGAGCTAATTATTCAGTAGTATAACATTCAGGGTTGTGCGGCACATACACAGAGGCTCAAACAATTGTGGCTAGAATATGTGCAAACAAAATGGAAATTAGAATTTGTATAGTTACATTATTTTGTTGTTCGGAAACTTGAGAAATATATTAAGAGTGGCCTCAATTGGAGTCAATCATTAATATAAAAAATTTGGCATCATTTCAGACTGGGAAGGATTATTTAGATTTAGATCACCTTTATCCAGTCGGCAATCGATCACCTTCAAAAATACGGATTAAAGCTTCTCGAAAGCATTAAGCGCCGGCTAAATCCCATTTAAATCAATCGTAAAATACTGAAATACTTTTTATTTTTAAATTTGCACAACAAATGCTGCCTCTTTTTTTTGAAAACCATTTTTAATTAAAATACACACTGGTATGTAAATTTAACAAATATTGCATACAAATCAGATTAAATCAAATATAACATGTAGCCGTAAAGATCTGATGGATTAATGGAATATTATGATTAATTTTAGGTTTTAAAGCATTATGATATATAGATTTCGATGTGCTCTGCTTTCAATAAATATGAAAGGACAAATTGTCAACGTTAACAAATTTTAATTAAATTTTCTGGAAGAAGTAATTTGAAAAAATCTTATATTTATTGTATTTTATGAACTGTTTTCCACGTGGATAGCTACTTAATATCACTTATTTTTGATGTTAAGCCCTTGACAAAACTTCATAGATGAAATCCAAATAGTTTTACCAAAAATTCATCCAGTCGAGTCGTTAATTTAAATTAGACTGCTTGAAGTTGGGGGATTTAAACGGGAAGAATCCCGAACGAAGACAATGGCACCCGTTTTCATTAAAACAGTGACATTTGCATAAGTCCTAAATTTACTTTGATAGGATTGTCGCTTGATAAAAATCGGTGTTAAGATTGATCGTCCAGAAATGGCGTAAAAGATAAATGTTGTATTTGCTCGTACTCAATAATTCAGCTCCCGATATATCGCGAAGTTGTTATAAAGTGTACCGATATTCTCCCAGATGCCTCCGATAAATTTCGAATAAATAAAACGGGCTTTTTCATGAAACATTGACTAATTCGAACAATAAAGTTTTCCCATTCGGAAAAGGGCCGTTGCTGTCGAAAGAGCCGCGAATCTCTCCCGAAGAATATTTATCTTTGTCTCTCTCCGTTTTCCACGTTACGTTACATCACGAACAATCGAGGTGTGGCCGACACGAACGAAACATCGATATCTCGCGCCAAAAACGAGAAGAAGGAACCCATTATCGCTTCTTGTTCTTAGGGAGGGCCAAGGGCTAAAGGACAGCGCACTATTTTAATGGACTTCGATGACTTTATATCGGAAAAAGTATTAATAAAAGTTTTCATTGGTAGTTGAAAACATCTTTTTTTTTCTGATTAATAAGGTTTCAGTTTGAACTCGAACCGCACTTAAATGGTTCAACGAAAATTCAAGAAACGTAAACGCGAGGATTATATTCTGCAACTCACAGAAATCTGATTCTGTTCTAAAGCCCTCCAATCTAATAGGCTTCCGGCCCCTTTATCCTCTGCACATTTAAATTTAGATTGCCGAGCTTTGACTCTACCAAAAGCTAGATATATTCTGCGGGATATGATACGACTACGTGAACGCTAGTCCTACCGCAAAAATATCATTTTTATTGTCGCTTTGTATTCGAAATAGTCGTAGTTAATTTGAATCGAATTAGATTCAATTTTATTTTGTAAACATGTGGCAAATAACAAAGACGCGTACCCTGCAAGCTTCTAGATCAGACGCAATGAAATTATTCAGATGCTGAATATATAGACATAGGTACTTTATTCGCTAGTTTGATCTAATCGCCCACGTCTTGTGGAAAATTAGAAAACTCTTTTCATGAATCGGTCTGATTAAAACTTTTTATTTATATGTTTAGTTAGAGTTTTATTTGGTAAATAAAATCGGAAAGAAATCTGAGAAGATTTCAAACTTTCAGAATCTTATACTCAGAGTCTTTTTTCAAAATAATGGAAACCGGAAGTAAATTAAAGGCGCAGAAAGATACAACGATACAATGTCTGAGTAGTTTGAGTATCCACCAAGTACAATTATTTCTTTAGCGAATCATTCGGCTATTCCGATACAAATTAAATTTCTCACTAAACTATGTTACGATAAATTTATCATTTACGTAACATGTTCCATCTCTTCTTATTTTTATTATAAAGTTGTATTTTTTTCCATTTCAGAATCAGCAAAATAATAATTCCTAATATTCTAAAAATATCCACAAAGTTCAAAATAATACAAGTGCTGCCATCTTTCCATCATGTGCGTAAAATGCAAATATTTATTAAATGAAGGTACTGCCATCTAGTACCTGATGGATTTATTTTTCAAAGTATGAGTTTATTTATTTCGCATTTGACAGTCATTTGTATTTTCATTGAAAGAAATTATATTTATCTCACTTTTAGCAAATGGATATATTTCTGTCTTTCTCTAACTTCTGATTCTGAAATAATCATTTTTTGGTTTAATGACCTAATTAATTAACAGTTTTTTATTTTTGACATAACCTTAATTTGAAATATTATAATTTGTAAACAATTAAAATAATTCTAGTGGATTTTTATCTATTCTCTTTTATTCCACGTGATTTTTCATTGTGATTTCAACTGAATATGATCTTTTGGGTGTACTCGTCTGATTGGTTGAACTGGTTAAAATGCAGTTAAGTATAAAAAAACACAGGATCGTTTTCCTGTGGGGTTTGGTTTCTAAGACGTTCTTTTTTCCTCGACAGTAGTCTAGCAGGCATGTCATTTTTATCTTTAATAATTTTTGCTTTACATTTTTTAGATTCTCCCTCATAAATTTTTCAATATGTTTTGCTATCAATGCATATTATCATATTAGGTTTTTACTTGATAAATCTTATCTTATCTATTCTTGAAATATAAATATTATATTTTAATTTTTTATCTATTTGTGGACTTCCATTTTGTGCGATTGGTAGTGCCACGTTTATCTGAGGTAAGTCAATTCAGATTTTTGGACTAATAAATAAGGTACTGCTGCTCTGGTTTTCAGAATCAATTGTTAGTGGGAATATTGGACCATTTACTCTAAATAGAGTCGGTGAAAACCAAATTTGTGTGTCCATCTCTATCAACTCTTTATTGAATCCAGGCAGAGGCCTGAATAGCCATTTTCTGTTTGACTCTGTCAATTATTATCTCGACTAAAGGGTGTATTTTTTTTAATAGAAATCCAGACAGGTCAAAAATTCAGTTAAAAAGTTTTAATTAAAGCATCTCAAGAATTTTGACATATTCTGGATTTGATTGATTTCACCGTCAGGTTTATCTTGTAGTATCTATAGTAGCTACCCTAATTTGAAAGGAAAATTTTGTCTATTTGGGGGAGAATCCAAAGATTTAATTTCTTATTGTTTTACCTTATTTTGTTCATATTTTTGCCTGCTAGTACTACTGTCAGAAAAGCAGCATTTTGCTCAAACATACCGAGCATTTTAATTTAATCTTGCTGTTATTATTTAATGTTGCTATTATTTTTTTTTTATATTAAAATATATATATTTTTTTTCAATTTGCAATAGGAAGGGAGTGTCTGTACAACAATAGTTTTACATTAAATTTGAATTTCAATTTCCTTTGCAACACACTCACTTTTTGAAGAGTTCAGGGATTTAATATTGCAAATATTGATGAACCTGATACTGCCTTATTCTTTTCTGGGTACCTACTCAACATAAAGATCACTGTTTGGAGTCTGGATCAGCTGGAGTGACGTCACCCCAGCAATCTATCCTCTTTCCTGGATACAGGAAAAAACACGAAGAGCTCCGGATTGGAAAGGTACATGGTATCAGATTCACCGGAAAAACCAAGCTGTCAACACTAAACTACAGAAAGTAACATTGACTGTTATTATATGTTACTATATAACCTTGTAAATCAAATACAATTATTGTTTGTTAGATTTTGAGGGGTTTAATTTGCACATAAAAGGACTACACGTTATCTTAATTTTTTTAATTCCACCACCCTAGGTTATCTTGTATTAAAGTTCAAATAATCAGATTATTTGTAACTCATTGGCGCCCAACGTGGGGCCTGCCAATTTGTTACAAATAATCATATTATTTGTAACAACTAAAACTAGAATACTCACCATATCGTCTGAGTCGGGGGCGAGGGCTGGATGTAAACGACGGGCCCAAACCTCCAAATCACCTGCAATAATTTTTAAATTTATACAAAAGGAAAAACAAAGTTGAATAATTTTTAGTTAGTACATAGGAAAACTACAAAATTATACTTTTAACATGTTAAAGATCAAATTTTTTTTTTTAGAAATTCTGTTATTGGCTCTTCTTTTACATGTGTCAAGAAATGCTGATACTTTCCCCCCCATGTGCATCTGTATCTGTATCGGTAAGTTTGGAAGGGTGATCAGAGTGTATTCCGTGCACCACATTTCTATAACCATGCGCTCGCAGATCGAGTTCCCGAATTTAAGTCAATAAATTCTAAAAAAAAAATCTTCATATTTGAAATTATATAATGTGTGTATCGTATTCTTCTGATGATGACGAATGAAAGGGATTAGTTCATTCGGGGTTAGCCGTACGTCTAGGTTCTCGAACGAACAATGAATAATTTTTTGGCACCAGACCAGAAATCCGGTTTTGAAATACACATAAATAGCAACCCAGCGTCCGCGTGTATTGAAACGGACGCCACGGTAATATACTTGTCGATTTGCATAGTGAATAACTCCGAAAAAGTTGGAAATATTTCAAAACGCCATTACTATATTTTTCTGTTGTAAAGAATTATTTGACTGATTTGGGAAGACAGTAAAGTTTTGGGAAAGAAGCATTTTTAAGTCTTTCATCCATTTGCCAACGTAGAGATTTTCATGCAAGGGATAAGTCTAACATCATCACATCCCACAAATGAATTCCAAAAGGTCAAAAAAAAAAAAATAGCAAATCTCATAGTTTAACCCGCGTTCACCCCAAAAACCTAATATTAAATTCCAGCAGGCCGAATTTTCCCGATAACGAGCATCTTAAGCAAATACATATTCATAAAATCTTATGCCCGGATCCCAAATATAAATCCGGAAACTTACGGGATATTAAGCTGACTTCTGGTTTCTTGCGGCAGAGAGATCGGGCCTTCCGGATCCTCCGTCATTATTGGCAAAGTTTGCTTGCCACTGTTTAAACTTAATTTTGCACGCTCCGAAAAACCGCGAGCCATCCGAGCGAAAAAAATTTAAGGCACTTTTCTTAAAAAGCTAGGGAGGCAATGGAGAATTAGGAGTGAAATACGATTGTTTGATCTTTGTCGCCAGAAAATTGCACGATTCGGAATTTAGTCTGTGTACTTTTTTTTGCGGAGCAGATTCATTAAAAATTGAATTTGCTTGCTAGTTGGTGTTTCAGAGAAATTTGCTTCTTGTTGGATCAAAAATCTATGTAACAGATAAGGATGTTCCCCAGTAACTTTATACATAATATGTTATAAGACCCAAATCAAAACAATCTAAGTTGGCATTTCCGCTGAGTGGTGGAGAAAAAGTGAAAAAGGAGACAAGAATAGATGTCTATAGGCTATTCCAAACAAAGATTTAAACCTGGTGATCTGAATGGTCACTTACGCATCTTTCAATCTAGGAAGCTTGAGTGCCAAAGAAATCCAACAGATCATATTGTCACAACCCCTATACTTTTCGTCCTGGGACGTCACAACAAGAGCGTGACCTGAGACGTAGGTGGGGTTCAGGTGGAGAGAAACTCGCTTGGTATAGGTATAATAAGATAATGTATATCTGTATTATGTACCCTCTGTACACTTGGCGTGACTGAAGGATTGAAGCTGGGTTTGAGACAGGTCCAGAAAGGCGTTTCCCAATAAAGGTAGTTTGAACTGGACCTAGTCTGCTGCGTTCAATGCTCCCAGAAGAAGCTAGGTTGGAGACAGGTCCAGAAGGGCGTTTCCCATTAAATGTAGTTTGCACTGGACCTAGTCTGCTGCGTTCAATACTCCCATAAGGGTGTTTCCCATTAAAGGTACTTTGCACTGGGAGGAAACTTAGCAAGAAGGGCTTTTCCCATTAGAGGTACTTTGCACTAGCCTTAGTCTGCCGGTGATGGATTTCGGCGCGATATTTATACCAAATTAATGCTGACTCGTCGAGACACTTTGGTAAAATTAATGTACAGAGTGGTATTCACTTAAGTAGTTGACACTAGCTCCAGTGCAAACTACCTTTAATGGGAAACGCCTTTCTAGACCTGTCTCAAACCTAACTTCAGTCTTCAGTCACGCCAAGTGTACAGAGGGTACATAATATAGAGTGGCCTATAAGTAGTACGTCCCTCCATAGAAGAGACGTCATGATACTATTTCTAGGGTGATATTATTATTATTATTCAATACATTATCTTATTATACCTATACCAAGCAAGTTTCTCTCTACCTGAACCCCACCTACGCCCCCGGGTCACGCTCCTGTTGTGAAATGCCAGAACGAAATGTATAGGGGTTGTGACAATATCACTGGATTTTGACATTCCATATAAAGTGGTTGTAAAAGAACGCCAATCATGGAACACGGTCAAGCGGCTCTAGTGCAATTTGTAGCTAGTTTGGGAGTGTAAAAATATCCTCAAGCAAGCAATTATTCAAAAACTGCACATAGAAAACTATATGATTATTCAAAAACTGTACATAGGATTGAATTCATACTAACATGGAAAGGTTGAGGGTTGAGGGGTAGTCAGAAACAGGAAAATACCAGTGACGTACACTCGATCGACCCACGAATGAAGAACCATACAAAAATATACATAACTGTATGATTATTCAAAAACTGTTAATAGGAAACTGTATGATTATTCAAAAACTGTACATAGGATTGAATTCATACTAACATGGAAACTCGCATGGAAACGTTGAGGGGGTAGTCAGAAACAGGAAAATATCAGTGGCGTACACTCGATCGACCTACGAATGAAGATCGAACCATACGAAAATATACAAAAATGTAGGATTATTCAAAAACTGTACCGGGTGATGTCTATATTTTGCACCCACATCTATCTCATCTGTTTAAAGAGATACCCAGAAATTTCAAATGTGAAAGTTGTAGTTTTACGTTTCTTGATTTTCAATGATGTTAGCTACAAGTATATAGGGTGTGTCACAAAAGTGCGGCGAAGCAGAGTTATACTTTTTAAATGGAAAACCCCGTATATTATTATTGTCCCGTTGGATTAACCTTTCAAACCTGATTCCAAATATACTAGGTTTTTTAGGTTTATTCCTCATAGTCCAGCCTCTGAATATCCTATTTTGAAGAAATAATATAGATTTTCTACATAAATGATTACCTTTATATTTTGCTGGTGGACCTATTGACATTTCTGGGCATAGGCGCAACTAGGGGGGTGCTTGGGGGTGCTAAGCACCCCTAAAGCAAAAATTAGCACTCCTATTCGGCATCCCACCATAGCACTACCTAACACTTATATAAAAAATTAGTGCAACCAAATTATTTTATGTATTTTTTTTGCACTTTTTGTACTTACTTACGTCATCGATGACGTCATAATTTAGAAAAAAGTATTTGTCGTTAATTAATTCATAGAGCACGTTCGCAATTATTATTATGGAATAAAATTTTTCAACCGGGGCCGGTATTACAATATTACCTTAAAATCAAGACTTACCCTAAAGTATAGGGTTTTTATGTTATATTTAGAATGACGTCATCGAACAAGGTCAGACAATGTTGTCAATGTCTATGTTTATTCTATATCTTAAGGTGACATTGAAATACCGGCTCTCAAATCATTGGAGTCCCAAATATATAAATTAATTAACTGCGTATTATACAGGGTGTTCTTAAATATCATGTACAAACGATAATGGGTGATTCTTTTTTTTTACGACTGAAATCTCAAATATGTAATTGACTTATTTAAGCAATTAAAAAAAATTCACCCTCTTACATTTTAATTTTTTTCTGGAAAACTTGCAAAGAGAAAATTTTGAAAATTTTCCAGGAATAAGAGGAAAATGAGGAGCTCATTTTACGAAAATTTCAAAATTTTCCAGTAAAAAATCACTCTAGGAAAAAATCTGAAAAATTGACTTTTTTAAGTAAAATTAAGGAAAATTCACCTCTTACATTTTAATTTTTTTCTGCAAAATTTGCAAAGAGAAAATTTTGAAAATTTTCCAGGAATAAGCGGAAAATGAGAAGCTCATTTTACGAAAATTTCAAAATTTTTCAGTAAAAAATTAATCCAGGAAAAATTTTGAAAAACTTACTTTTCAGCAAAATTAAGGAGAATTCATCCTCTTACATTTTAATTTATTTCTAGAAATCTGGCAAAGGGAAAATTGTGAAATGTTTCCAGAAGAAAAAGAAAAGTGAGGAGCACATTATAGAAAAATTTCAAAATTTTTCAGTCAAAAATCACTCCAGGAAAAATTCTGGAAAATTGACTTTTTTAGGCAAAATTCACCCTCTTACATTTAGATTTTTTTTGGGAAACTGGCAAGAAAATTGTGGAAATTTTCCAGAAAAAGAAGAAAATAAAGAGCTCGTTATAGCAAATTTTGTAATTTTCGAAGACTCGTAATTTCCGTAATTTTTCTTTAGAAATTTTTTAATTCCTGTCATTTCTCAAATAATTCTTATAATTTTTTTATTAATTCCTGTTGTTCTTCAAATTTTCGTATTTTTTTAATTCCCGTAGTTCTCAGAAAATTCCGTTATTTCTATAATTCCACGTTTTTGTATATTTCAAAAATTAGTAGGTAATTCCCGTAATTTCCGTATTTTTTCTGGGCATTTTTCAAAATTATTTCCCGAAAGCCTTTGTAATTTTTAATTCTCGTTATTCCCGTAACTTTTTCGTAATTCCCGTAATTTTTTATAATTCTCGTACCTTGATAGTTTTCGTAATTTTCAATTCAATTTTCAATTGTCGTAATTTTTTAAATTTCTTGGACGTTTTTTGAAATTTTATAATTTCCCGGTCTTTATAATTTTTGTAATTGTAATTCCTGATTCTTGTAATTCTTGTTATTTTCTAACTTTTTGAAAATCATCATAGGTTTTTTCGATTTTTGCAATTCGTTAATAAATTTCCGTGATTTATTTCCAGAATTTTCGTAACTCTTGTAAATTTTCTAATTTCCATAATTTTTTA